CCATAAGGTAGTGGTTAAGGCTAGAGTGAGAGAAACCTGCTTTTAATGTATGACCCTGAGCAAGTGAGCCCATCTTTCTTAGACTCAATTTCGGCTTCTGTCAAATGGCTGTATTTACTTCATAGAATTGTTTACAAAATTAAGAAGGCCGGGCGCGGTGGCTCACGCCTATAATCCCAGCACTTTGGGAGGCCGTGGTGGGTGGATCACGAGGTTAAGAGATCGAGACCATCCTGGTCAATGAGGTGAAACCCCATCTCTACTAAAAACACAAAAATTAGCTGGGCATGGTGGCGCACGCCTATAGTCCCAGCTACTCGGGAGGCTGAGGCAGGAGAATTGCTTGAACCCAGGAGGCAGAGGTTGCGGTGAGCCGAGATTGCGCCATTGCACTCCAGCTTGGGTAACAAGAGCGAAACCCTGTCTCAAAAAATAAAAATATAAAAAAAAATTAAAATCATGAATATAAAGTATCAGTAAATATCAGCACAAAAATATTAGCAAATTACTAATTGGTAAATTACTAAATTAACTGAAGCCAGAGAAAAGGAAATTCCTTAGTTCCATAAGAAATGTGTATGGTAGATGTTTTGAGCAGGTTAATTTGTGGTTAAATTTTTGGGCCAGGTGACATTTTTATATGTATAATTTTATATCACAATTACATGTATATGTCTTTAGAAGCCTCCATCATAAGAGAACAAGAGAAGATTACTTTTTTTTTTTTTGAGACAGAGTCTCACTCTGTCACCCAGGCTGGAGTGCAGTGGCGTGGTCTCGGCTCACTACAGCTCCACCTCCTGGGTTCAAGTGATTCTCGTGCTTCTCGACTAGTTGGGATTATAGGCATATGCCAAAAGGCCTGGCTAATTTTTGTATTTTTAGTAGAGACGGGGTTTCACCGTGTTGGCCGGGCTGGTCTTGAACTCGTTGCCTCAAGCAATCCTCCTGCCTAGACTTCCCAAGGTGCTGAGATTACATGCATGAGTCCCCGCGCCCAAACTAAGAGATTACTAAAGAAAATGTTTATATGATATCTTGAAAAACATGCACCTAGAAGGAGCTTCTAAGGGTCACAGCCACCCAGTTAACTTTAGGGAAAAAAGTGCCAAGGTGTTATATTTTCAAGGATGTTTGAAGAATGTGTGAATGGAATTTTTTCTTTTCTTTTCTTTTCTTTTCTTTTTGAGACAGTCTCACTCTGTCGCCAGGCACCAGACTAGAGTGCAATGGCGCGATCTTGGCTCACCGCAACCTCCGCCGTCCGGGTTCAAGCAATTCTCCTGCCTCAGCCTTCCCAGTAGCTGGGATTACAGGCGCGCCCCACCATGCCCATCTAATTTTTGTATTTTTAGTAGAGACGGGGTTTCCCCATGTTTGCCAGGATGGTCTCGATCTCTTGACCTTGTGATCCACCCGCCTCGGCCTCCCAAAGTGCTGGGATTACAGGCGTGGTGAATGGAATTTTCTATGCAGTTTCACAGGGAGAGCAATTATTTGGGTGTCCTTCATAATTCAACACTGTATCTCTCTCGGTCCATTCTAATTTAAGGCTCTTTCCCTGCTATATAACTTCATTCATATTCTGCTTCTAGTGGAAATGGAGAATTAATATATAATAGTATTTTTAATGTTTAGGTTTAATTTTTTAAAGTTGTGAATTTTCAAGCTCTCAGCATCTCTTTAGATCTTTACAAGTCATGAGATTAAATACCATATTGACTACCATTTTACAAATAAAAAACTCTGAGAGTAGAGAATTTAAATCCTGTCTTTATTCAGCTTTTACCATAATGCCCCATTTTTCATCTTGAGTATAGTATCTAGCCATAGCTTTGTTTATTATTGAGTTTTCCTTAAATTTAGATGACAAATATACCTCCAAAATACACATCCAACTTAAGTCCTTCGCTAACAATATTTGAACCTAGAGTATTTAGAGAAATCCTGAAACAGAGACCTTTGCACCACACATACACACACAGGCATGAGAAGATCACGGAGGCTGTGGGGAAACTCATTGTTTCAAAAGCATTTGAAACACTTGGTTTGTCAAAAAATGTTATCCATTTTTTATTAAAATACCTGAAAGTACCACATTTTTATTTAAAATGCCTGAAAGATGTGTGTTTGCTTGTTTAATGGAGAACCCAGAGCAGTAAATTGAAGGAGACCACCTGGTAGGTTTAAGCAATGTTAGGGTAGTGTTTTCAACAGATTTGCAACAGATAGTATCTTTGGGACTCAGGAGTAAAAAAAAATCAGAACTCTCAGGAATTCTCCAAATCATTCGTCATTCTTTAAGTATTTCTAAAATTAATTATATGCTTTACTCATTGTTATGGATCTTTCATAATATCCATAAAAGTTATTTCATAAATAGAAAATATTAAGTTCAATAGCATTTATCAATACTATGGTCTGTAGCAGATATTCAAACTCTGGGAAATTCCAGCGAACATGATTGTGTATATTCAGATAATGTAATATTCAGGCACCCTAGTGAGCCTAGCAGCACTAGCTTGAATCACAGGTTGAAACTGCAGCTTAAGAACATATTTTGCTTCCAAAACCTGATATTTCTTAAAACACCATTCATAAGATTTGTATGAATATTTGCATAAAATATACCACATATAAAAACTTACTAATATGTATTTTATTTGCAACAATGACTCAACATTACAGGCAGACAAATCACAAACCCACATTTATAACATGGCTGTTGCTACCTCCAAGGATGATAAACTGATTAGATCATGACTGCTTTTTTTTTCTTTGCACTCCTGTCCTGGGTTTTGAAAATATCAACCTTAACCTTGGACTGTGTCTGTGTTTTCTGCTCTTGCATTCCACTGGGCATCAATGGTTTCATCAAACCAGTAACAGCGCCACGTCACTTGCAGAACTTTAATTCTCACAAGAGAATTGCAAAGCTCTTTTCTGTTTTCCCCATTTTTTCAACTGATTTTTCTTTGAATCTGGGATTTGGAAAACTTGAATTTCCTGAGCAATGCTAGGAAGGGATTACAATATGGAAAACCTGGTCAAGGTCTACTGCAGACCCATCAGGAAGGCCCACAAGCAGGGTCTCTGGAAAGCACAGTAGAGAGCCTGATGAGGGGGGAATAGCTGGGAGGCGGAGGCCCCAGCACACAGCCCCTGTGGCAACAGTAAAGCACAAGCCCATCTTCTTCAGTGTAGTCTCAGCTAGAAAATGTCCTGGAAGCAGAAGCACCAGCCTCACTTAATAGTCAATGAAGAGCCTTCAAAGATTGAACGGTTGACAGCTTCCTTTGAAAGGACGAGTCCTGACAGCCCTTATGACTTGTAAGAGAGAGAAGGAAAATACCAACATTAGGGAATGTTGACCTATCTGGTTTCATTAGTTAAAGTTAAAACTGTACCTACTTATTTTGTTAGATAAAGTTGAGTTTCTTTCTAGTTTTTTTTTTTTTTTTTGCTTCGGAAGCCAAATAGCCTTCTGGTGATATTGACAGATTCTGGTTTTTATAGTTCCAAAAAGATGGCAGATTTGGAATCTTGAGACGTATTTCTCCTTGGAACCACATTTGTTAAAATGATTGTGGGAGAAAATTGTTAAAATTATAACTTAAAGTCATGACCAGTTGATTTTACCCTTCAATCCTAGTGATAATTAACTCACCATGACATTATACGGACCTCACTCTATTTCATTATTCGCTATAAACGAACTTCACAGATTTCTTTAAATTTAGAAAATTAGTTGAAAGCACATTTCCTGTTGTTAAAATGTATTCCAAGTAAAATAAGGGAATTCTGTAAGAGATTAACTTTAAAATTCTAGAATGTCAATGCATTACAGCATGGCTCCCAGCTCTGTATCCTTTAGGTCTTATGCAGATGAGAAGGTTGCTTCCTCTGAAGAGAGAGTTGGGATGCTCAAGCCTCATGTGGGTGACGTTTAGGGTCTAGAGAAGAGGAACAAGCAGGCACATGATGGCAGTGACCCCTGAGTCTCCAGGCCCTGCTCCCTTTGGAAAAGTGCCAGAATCCTGGGGAAGTAGAGGCTCCAATAAAGAGCAGGACAGATCCAAGCTGCAGTCCTGGGATTTCTGTTTGAAATTTGGCGTTGTAGGGAGAAAGACAAGCAAAGCTGCCTTGTAATTTTAGTTTTGGATAGGAGGAATGACAAAAGAAACTCTCTTGTTTACTTTAGGGTCAACAAGAGAGGAATATTTTGTAACAGTAAACTGTGGTTCTTTAAGGCTCCTGTAGCATGGCTTATTCCCATGAGGGGACAAGTTGGGTATGGCCATCTGGAAATTGAGAGGTAACATGCGATGGGGAGAAGATGGCCATTTGCAAGATGCCCCAGGGATTTTTCACTCTGAGCCAAAGAGAGGAAAAGAATGACAGGTCCATAGTTCCAGAGGTCCGACTCCTGGAGTCAAACATGGACTTCTCTGTTGGAGTTTTGGTGACCTTTCATACTCCAGGGTCATCAACCACTTTACTCATCATATTTCCTGTTGTTTATAAGGTAACACTGACTTGTAGTAGAGATGCAATGTTCTTGCCAAAAATCAGAGAGAGCGGCCTCAGTAAATAATTAACTTGGTTGCCAAGGGAACAGTGTCCTGAGTGGACTGAAGACAGTCACTGAGATAACCTTCACATGTCCTGGCCAATGGAGGCTAGAAGCAGACAGTGACCAGATAAGCAGACTTCCATGTAGATCTCTGGACAAGGAATGAATAGGTGGTTTTAGGGCCAAGGAAGCAAATCAATACCTTCTTTGTTGTAACTAATAGGATACCCTAGAGAACAGAGTTGCTGGCTGAAACTCAGGACCTCTGGGAAGCTGGGAAGCCTAAGGGGCTTTCTATCATCCTCAGGTAAGTGTGAGAGAACCACAGATTTCCCTCAAATAAAGTACACCAAACTTGAATTAAGCTGCTATTGCTTATCACTGCAGTTCAACGGCGAGAGATTTTTAATGTCTATCTATATAGGCATTCTTTGAGTTTAATTTTTTTTATTTTTAAACAATTAGAGATGTACAGAAAAGTTGCAAACATAATACAGAGAATTCTTATAAACCCTTTACTGTTCATCCAGATTCACCTTTCCACATTGGTTTTATCATTCTGGGTTCCATCTGTCTGTCTATCCCTCCATCTATTTTTAGTCTATCTATCTCCCTCCATCCACTCCTCCATCGAATCTGCCTACTGCTCCATCCATCCATCCATCCATCCATCTATATAAAATCTCATAGATTATGCCCCTCCCCTCCAACTCCATCCAGTGACTATTTTGTAAAATAGAGAACATTCTCTTATATACCCAGAGTGCAATGATCAAAATCAGGATACAATACTATTATCTAATCAACAAACCTTATTCAACTTTCACCTATTGTCTACTGCTGTCCTTTACAATTAAAGTGGGAAAAAGCCCTCAGGTCCGGGATCTAATCTGGGATCACACATTATGTTTTGTTGTCCTGTTAGTCTCCTTTAATCTGGAACACTTCCTCCGTCTTTCTTTGCCTTCCTGAGTTGACATTTTTGAAGCATACAGACCATTTCTTTTGAAGAATGTTCCTCAATTTGGGTTTGATTGATGTTTCCTCAAGATTATAGGTTCCGGTTCTGTATTTTGGCAGGGAAACCATAGACGTGATATTGTGTTCTTCTTGCATTATATCAGGAGGCCCATGAGTCTTGTTTGTCTGACAACTGGTGATGTGACCGTTACTCAGATAAAATCACCGTTATTTACTTTAATATTCAAATGTCCCAGATTTGGCCAGTGGAAGCCCCTTCAGCCTGGTCATTGTGGTTTGTGACATGTCCCTGTAATTTTTTTGAGCAGTTTATAACTTTCTAAAATAGAAAGATATCCCAGCCCCAGCCCTAAAATTAGCTATTTCTCCAAAGACTCGTAATTCCTTTTATTGGAAAATATTTAGAAACAAGATCTCTGTGTTGCATGCTGGGTGTGATTTACATGTGTGTACATGAGTGAGTACATATGTGGTCATTTATAAGATAGCAATATAATTAGGTTCGCTTATTTTTGTGTATACTCCATTTTGGGTTTCTATCTATTGATTTTATATATTTATATTTTAAGCACTTGAAATATAATATGGTTCTAGAAGTCAAAACTATAGCAAATATATAGTTAGAGAAATGTCACTCTCCCACATGCCTTTTATCCTGTTCCTAGTCCCAATTTTTTCTGCCCTATTTCCAACCACTACCACCCATCGTAATCAATCTAATTATTTTCTCTTTTATTCTTCTTATGTTTTACTTTGCAGAAATGAACAGATACAGGAATATATTTCCCTTATTTCTTACGTAAAAGGTACATAGTATAGATACTATTTTTCTTTTTCCACTTAACAAAAGATACTGGAAAACACCCCATATCAGTTCAGAGAGATAGTCTTTGTTCTTGATCATAGATGCATACTACTCCATTGTATGAAGGTATTCAATTATTCTCTGATGTTCAGCTACATAGTTTTTTTTTCCCAACATTTTTCAGTTACAATGAATACTGCACAGAATTACCTTGTGCATAAGTATTTTCTTATTTTTGGAAGTAAATCTCTAGAGGTGGAATTACTGGTACAAATAGAAAGTGTACATACAGTATCTTTAGATATTGCTAAATATTCCCAGTTTGTATCTTTACCACTTATGTATAAGATTGCCTGTTTCCCACAGCCCTTCCAAAAGCATGTGGTGATCTACTTTTTAATTTTCACCAATTCAAGTGAAAAGTATCTCAATATAGTTTTCATTTGTATTTCTCTAAATATGAATGAGGTGAAACATCTTTTCATATGTTTAAGGATATTGTATCTTTTACCCAACGTTCTATCGAGTACATGCTTTTTCAAAACTTTCCTTTGAATTGCATTTTCCCTTCCATTTGCCAGGCAGAAGCTAGAAGTTATACATTTGCTTAACACTCATCTTGCCCCTTGATTTTTTCATCATAAAATCTTATCTACAGTAATTTTAGTTCTTGATATGACAGTGTTCACAGTGAAATTTAAATCAGGCTGTACATTTGTAACCTGTACATTTTTAAAAGGTCATTTTAAAAAGTTTTAATTGATTAAATTCTGTACCAAAGTATCACTGTCCTGCTTTGCACTGTTGGCAAAGTAATGCAAAACCTAATGATTCCCAAAATTATTCAGGCAGCCCTGACTTGGGATTAAAAGAAAAAAGTGACCCATTGAAGAAGGGGTTCTGGGAGCACATACCTGAAGGGTAGTCCCACAACCCAACACACACACACACACACACACACACACACACACACACACACCTGGCCATCCTACCCTCTCTCCCACCATGGTGTCCAGTCCCACCAGCCTCCAAGACCTTGCCAAAAATTGCCTGGCTGAGATAGATCTTCCCAACTCACCAACTAGCAGAAAATACTTATCCAGTGGATAGCCATAGAATCCTTGGTTTTAACATTTTGCTTGCAATCTCTTCTTTGCCCCCAATAAGCGATGCCCCTGTGAGTCAAGCCTCATCTTCTCCATAATTTGCAAGAGGAGGAGGAGGAAATAGGTAATTAAATGTTATGACCTACTAAGAGAAAGGCTCCGATGGCCTTGGATTTTCTTACCCTTCTCAATACCCCATCCCCTGGACAGCTGTGATGAGTCGAGATGCCTTCTCTCCTCCCTTCAGCCTCCAGAATCTCTTTGGTGTGGGAGAGATTGATAATCCACATAAAACTGCCATGGGAGGGTGAATGGACGAATTTTTAAAAGTTACTTGTCTATTTGCTGCATCTCTCAGGGCAGCCCAGGCAGGAGGGAGAATTAGTGCCACGTGGAGACCTGTCACGCTGCTGGCCTGAGGGGGCCCAGCCTCTCACGTGGAATGGCCCCCAGCAGCCTGGGGAGCTCCCAAGTGGACAAGCTGGGGAGGAGGTGTGGGTCAGATGGCGATGGTAGCTGTTGGGAAGGAAGGCTAAACGGTGTGGGCAGAAGTCAAAGATAAACTTCCATCCTCCTCTTTCTCTTTCCATGTAACAGCCAAAAGATGCTGGTTATTTCAAGGAGTTTCCAAGAATGGCATTTGATGTATATCACAACCTTCCCAGGGAAGCTGGGGACGAGGCATCAAAGTTTCCTCTCCTCTCCCCAACAGAGACACCCCAGCACACGCACAGGCCCCACCTGAAGTTACCATACACACACACACACACACTTTTCTTTCTCACTGAGAAAGAAGTTGGGAGTAGAAGCCATTCCACTTGCAAGAACTAATGTCCTAGATCCAGGGCTGTCTGAGGATCACTGGCTGTTAGTCCGACCCCAGTCTCTGATGGTGTGCTGGATTTCCCACACTTGCGTGGTACAGGTCCGGAGTACAAGCACGTGTCTACCCGAAGGGTCCTTCTTCATCTCCAGACATCGCTTGGTATCCCTGTTCATGACAGCTCCCCCCTGGAGAGGAAGAGAAACAGAGCTAAGGTGCTGAAATGCCTCAGTAATTCATCATCTTTAGGGGCCCCTCAGTGCTCTGCAAGTCATCCAGGAAAGAAAAGGAAGCAGAATATAGGATGAGATTGCTCAGAGCTTCCTCTACCAGCCTCATGGCAAATTGACCAACCAGGTGATGTTGCACTAGCTTTATGTGATGCCCTCGGCCTCTCCTGAGACAGAAGTGTTGGGTCGGTACTGATTACCATGAAATGATGGCCTCTGTGAGAACTGTGGGCCTTCTCAACTTAGCCTTCCTTTCCTCATCCTTACCCCTGAGCCCGTGAGACCAATCACGGTCACCTTCACCTTGTGCTTCTCTCCCTTCTCAGGGAAACTATGTTGTGCACCTGGAGCAGGAGCCACATTCAGAAATCTCAGCCTCTGAGGAAGCTTCCTACCTCTCCTGTTGAGGGGACGTCACCAAGGTTTATAACTGAGAACATGATAGGCTTTAGTGCTAAAAAGTCAGGGTTGAATCCTTGCTGTACCACATACAAACTGTGTGGGTCTGGACAAATAACCTAATCTCTCCAAGTCTCAATGTCTTCATCTATAAAATGGGTTTAGAGTTAATATTAAAGTTAAAATTAGAGTTAATATTGATGAAGCATCTTGGACCTGACACATGAAACGGGCAACAAATCCTAGTTCATCTCTGCCACTCCCCATGAGATGAGAAAGGAAGGGCCGTCCTTCTCTTTGGTCCTATGTGATCCCCACAATCTCGCTGAGCTTCTTCCCCCTTATCTTCATATCTCAGCAACTGACGATCCTACCATCTGTCCAAACCACCATCTCTCCTGGTCCTGCCCTCTGCTCCCAGCCCTCTCTCTCCACATCCCTCTCAATCCCTTTGCAGGACTCACTTGAGCTGCATTAGTACCTGGGTCAGGCTGTATCTTCGTTATGCCCTGCACTCTGCTATCATCCTCAGGGTTCATAACATTCATTCTGATGGCGAGTGAGAAACCCTGACCTGACTGTTCCCCTTCAGACAAACTGCCACCAAGTTCTTGAACATCAAGTGGGACTGACTCTAGCTGTAACCTCTAAATTTCTGCGTCCCCTCTCACCATCACCTCCCTGCCTCTCATCTCTTCAAATCACAAAGTGCCTCCAACAGCCCTTGCGCCTCCAAAATTTTCCTGTCATTGGACTCCCCCTGGCCCCATCCACCCTTGCCTCCTCTAGGCACCCATCCAGCATTGGCCATTCAGGGCAGCTCTTCAGATTCTGGAACTTCTCCACCACCGCCACCACTCCTCTCTCTTGGTCCCTGCTTCCAGACCACAGAGCTCTTGTGGACAGGGTCTGCCAGCTGAGCCTGCCCACAGCAGCCTGGCCCCAGGGCTTGGCTTACTCCTCAGCGTTCCTTATCCAGGCCTCCTCCGCATGTTTTGTCTGTCAGCCCCCACCCCGACACTCACTTTAACAAAATGTCAAGAACACCACACTTCTAGTCGATCCTCCGCTCCCCTGTAAGACATCAGCCTTCCTGAGGACACCGCCTCACAGATGATCTCAAAGGAGCAGCCCCATGCCCGCCTCACCTGCCAGCCGTCTCCTTGGTTTCCCCATGCCCGCCTCACCTGCCAGCCGTCTCCTCGGTTTCCTGAGCCCTGGCCATCTCGATGCTGAAGAAACACTCCTCCTAACATCTGTCTTTTAGTTCTCTCTCTTTGCATATTCCTTTTCTACTGCCTTTAAATATGTCCAAATGTCACAATATTAGGAGGACAAAATAAACCCAGCCCTTAACTCTACTCTCCCTTTCAACCAACATTCAGTGTTTTTCTCCCTTTCAGAATCAAATTCCCAAGCAACAAGGCAATAGCACACAGTGGTTAAGATTCCACATTTGAATGGCGGGCATTTACTACACTGTGTAACCGTAGGCAAATAATTGGATTCCTCAGTGCCCTAGTTACTTCACGGGTGAGACCGGGCTAGTGATCATAGTTCTCTTAGAAGACTTATGTTTTATAAGAACTGAATGACATATTTACCCCAACGCCTAGTGCATATATGTATTTCAATAACTCTTGGTTATTATAACTTATTGTAACCTTTTAAACAGAGTCGGTGGCCTATTTTCTATTTCTGCTCAACTTCCATGTGACATGAGCTTTGAAAATGTTCCACCCATCCTCTAGTTTCTTTCACATTGTGTTCATCTGGATCTTACACATTTTCGTTTTGCTTTTTTTTGAGATGGAGCCTTGCTGTATCACCCAAACTGGAGTGCGGTGGCGCAATCTCAGCTCATTGCAACCTCCACCTCCCATGTTCAAGTTATTCTCCAGCCTCAGCCTCCTGAGTAGCTGAGATTACAGGCACCTGCTGCCACACCTGGCTAATTTTTGTATTTTTAGTAGAGATGGGGTTTCAGCATGTTGGCCAGGCTGGTCTCAAACTCCTGACCTTGGCCCGTGATCCACCTGCCTAGGCCTCCCAAAGTTCTGGGATTACAGGCGTGCGCCACCACACCCAGCCATTTTGGTTTTTATTTTGGGGTGTTACCTGTCCAAATGATATTAGAAGGGCAAAAGGTGTTTTTAAAAGATTTTTGTTTTTGTTTCTCTTTCAATTTTACAAAAATAATAGATACTTCTTTAACTTGGAAAATATATTTTTAAAATACATAAAACACTTCAAAATATGTGACCAGGGGCTCAGGGTACATGGGGGCTGCTGGCAGGTGAGGTGGGATGGAGCAGCTACTTTGAGATCATCTGTGAGGTCGTGATGGCTTTCAGGGGAGGGGATGATTGACTAGAAGTATATTTATAAAAAATATATTTTAAAATATTTTATATATAAAGTATATAAAAGCACTCACAACAAGACAACATTGTATATGTGGTCTTTACATCTTGCTTCTTTATATAAATTTAATATTGCATATACATATTTTCCAGTTTTATTAATTTTTTGAAAGAGATTATTTCAGAATATTTGAGTGGCTCTACAATATTCAGTTCAAGAGATGAGCAAAGCATCCCTAACTGTTGGACATTTCAATTTTCCCAGTGTTTCACTGTGATAATTATTAAGATATTTTCCACATTAATGCTGGCTTATATTCTATACTATTCCTTAAGTAAAGATATTGTCCTAAAAAAGAATTAGTGCCTTAAAAAGAGCTGTAGTTAGTTTGGGTTCTGAGGAGTGTGGGGTTTTCCTGCACGTGGGCAAGTTGCTTCTGGAGCTATGCCAGTCTCCATGCTTACAAGCGGTGTGCGGGAGCACTCCCTCCACACTTCCTCTTTTCCCACACTTTCAACCTCTCACCACCAGTGCTCTCCTCCTCCTCACTACTATTCTTAGAGATCCTCTTTGTATTGTGAGCTGCTGCTTCACCCCAAAGATGGATGACCTTCCCCAAATTCCCCCTTATTTCAGTGGCATCACCATCTCAACACTGTGCTACTGAACTTAAGGTCCATATGTCTGAATAGGCCTTCTCTTAAACTGGGTCCCCTCTCTATCACTGGCTCTCTTGTGAGTCACAGGGCCATAGCCTCCTCTGGTATACCCAAAACACAGAATCAAGAAATCAAAGAAAACAAAGGGATGATCTAGTGTCATCTCCCTCTCAATTTTGGAAAATTCCTTTGGTAACTTTTTAGATTGATTTGTAAGTTGTGCCTACAGAGTAAAGTGAGAACCAGAAGAGCCCAACATTCAATCAAGTATCATTTTCATATCTAAAAGAAGTGTAGACCTAAGAGGTAAGATGGATGGAAAGAGATCAGATGGAGCGAACCCATTCAAGACTAACTTAATATTATGAAACACACCAGAAATTACAGGATCACCTCCCTTTTTATTTTTGTAGTTCTTGACATAGTGGCCATAGAAATGGAAATTTAAGGTATTAAATTTGTAAATACGGTTAACAATGTTTAATGGCATTTAGTTTATTAAATTTTAAAAATCCTCTTTCTTGTCGAAAGTTGTCAGGCTTATAGATAAAATAATAAGATTTACAAGCTGAACTTAAAAGCTTAAAGAAAAACCATGATTCTTTCAACACTCCTTTGCACCGAGTACCATACTAAATGCTTTACAAACATCTCACTAAATTTTTAAATTTATAACTTATAATTTTTATTTATAACATAAATTTTTAATTTATAACTTTATAAAAATTAGTGAATACTAATTTTTTAAAACAAAGTAAATTTGTAGTAGTTTTCTTCACATGAACAGAAAAGTATGACTAAGGACATCAAAAATTCATATTTAGCACATGAGGCCTGCCAGGTGCTCCAACATGCTGTGCTTGGTGACTGCCATTTATGGGGAACTCACCACCATGCTAAGCAGCCTATTCATTTGTAGGAAACCTGAAGCTGTGAGGCCTTTAGTAAGCCCTCCCCTTGCTCCTACATAAGTAAAAATCTGCCACCTTAAACTTTATCTGTTGGTCTCAGTTCTGCCCTCCTGCGACACTAAACTAATCTACTCCCTCTTCCTCAGGAAGACAGCGTCATTTTTTTTCTATCCACAGGCCTAACAAGCCTTTCAAGCTATATCTCCATGCCTGCCAATTTTTCATTTGCTCTGCAACCATTTGTTGAGTGCCTGCCATGTTCTAGGGGTTGTGCCAGATGCTAGAGAAAAAACAGCAAACGCCAGGCCCTGCCCTCCAGCTCACAGCCAAATGATGAAAAGAAGCAAGTGAGCTGACAATTGCAAGAGCTGGTGAGACTAGGGCTAGAAAAGGGCCCCCGAGAGCTCATAGAGGAACCACCTGCCTGACTCCTCTGGGGTCACAGAAGGCTTCCCAAGGGAGATGATGTCTAAGGCCAGGGGAACACTTTCTAGTTGGCCTGGTGAAGAAGTGGGAGGAGAGGGAATAATACCTGCAAAAAGGTCTAAGGTAAGAGGGAGCCTGGACTTTCACTGAATTCCCTATAGTTCCATAGAATTGGAGTTTAAAGGGAGACATCAGAGACTGAGAAGACATTACCCCCCTTCTTCTAATCAATATTGTCTAGTTCAGGAAAGCTTAATCTGGGATGCAAAAAAAAAAGCAAAACAAAACTCTGAAACTGTAAGCAAATCTTGCACATAGGTTCATTGGTAGGTTTTCCTGGAGAGAGAGTCCATAGCACACAACGAATTCTCAAAGAGGGCGCTAGCTTTGAAAAGTCAGAGACTGCTGAACTAGATTGTCCATGTGGCACTTGAACAAAGCACAGTCCCTTATTCAGAGACACGGTCACAGACAGACCAGTAGCATCCTCCAGGAGGTACTGCCCCTTCCTACCACATTGGCCCGAGTGCAGAAGCTTTTGCAGTAACCCCATCCATTGTCAATTCCCCGCAGACTGTAGTCAGCCAAGACCCTTGCATCATCATCATGTACATCTGCCAGATTCCTTCCACCTGTCTTTGGTCATTTGATGTTGAAGTTAAAGGCAGAGCTCCCACATTGGCCCCTGTCAGATTTCAGCCTAGTGTTCCACCTCCTCTGAAAATTATTAATAATAAGTGGATCACAATGGCAAATGCATATTGAACACTCCTCTGCTCCAGGCAGCACGCTAAATACTTTACACACGCTATATCATTTAATCCTCTCAACACTGGCCTACAGAAGATATTATCACCTCCATCATTTTATAATGAGGAAACTGAGCTTCAGAGAGGGTAAGGAATTTGCTAGGTGACTGAGCTAGGATGTGGGCCCAAACTCTCAACTGTTCCACTACAACAGATTCCAATATTTCTTCTCCTTAACAACCCCTGCCTTAGTCAAGAGACTCAGTGTTTCATACCCAGTTTCCTGTTTCTAATCTTTTCCCTACATGTTGCCACAAGAAGTAATTCTCCTAAAACACTATCAAATCAAATCTGAACCTCTCCTATATCTGTCCTTTGAAAAACATGTAACTTGCTGGACTCATGCCTGTAATCCCGGCCTGGCCAACATGGTGAAACCCAGTTGCTACTAAACATACAAACACGTGGTGCCATGTGCCTGTAATCCCAGCTACTTGGCAGGCTGAGGCAGAAGAATTGCTTGAACTGGGACCTGGGAGGCAGAGGTTGCAGTGAGCCATTGCACTCCAGCCTGGGTTACAAATCGAGACTCCATCTCAAAAAAAAAAAGGAAAGAAAGAAAAAAATCCATGTAACTCACCTGTTTAAAATCCCAATATATGTGCAATCCATTGGTAGCTGCCTTGGAGCATCGTTCTAAGGTGGGCTTCTCCTCTGCTTTGCCAGGGTCTGTCAGGCAGCGATCACTGTCACTGGCCTCTGCAATCAGTTGTCCCACATAGAGCTCCCCAGTTAGGTGATAGTAGACGTACTAAAAGAGAGCAGAGGACTCGCCATTGGCACTATCAGCCAGCAGGAGACCCTAGCCAGAGGGTGGGCAGGAAGACTGATCTTGGAGCCCCTAGACACCTAGTTTCACCAGGAGCACTGAACCTTCCTGGACAACACGAAGCCACCTCTGCTTCCCTCTACTCCTTAGTCTCCCCTTGAATCCAGGGAGAAGGCCAGGCCTAGGAGGGCTCCAACAGAATCATAGCTTACATGGATGAAGAAGCTTGTCTCTGGAGGAAAAACAAAACTGAATTCCAGAATCTGTCACTGAAGGCCTCAGCTATGGATTTGTTGTCAGAAAACCTTTCAAATTCCTGACTTGACATGACCTTGCTCAGAGAGCTTGGACAAGTAGTTTGGTCATGTGTCTCCATTTTTTCATCTAAGTGGAAATGATATCTATCGTGCATGCCTCAAAAGGTTGCTATGAGGGCAGCATGCAAAGTAAGATGTGAATATTGTCTGTTAAAAAAAAGTCCCCTGGCTGCCCCTTCCACATGGTGCCAGGGCCCTTCCATCCCTTGGAGGAACATCTGCTCAGCCTCTCTCCTCTCTAGCTCTGTTTCCCTCTCTCCAGGAGAAGCATAGGTGGCTTCACCTGTCCACTCTCCCAGGCATTCAAGGAGCAGAGAAAAGACTGAGGGAGCTGTGGGAGGAGGGGAAAAAGGAAGGGACCAGAGGTGACTGTCAATGCAAATATCACCATGGAGAATGAATGTGACAGAGCATAGCCTTTCCACCTATCCTGTAACTGAAATGAAACTACGTTGTCATGGCTCTCTGAAGAAATTAAGACGTGCTCAGTGACAAGTGCAGGTCTGGGTTTCACCCTTACCCAGGATGCTCTGCTCCTGACTCCCCATCACCTATCACGGAGTCTAGACCCAGCAAAGGTTATTGGGGCTGAGCCACGACAGACTCGCCCAGTCAGGGCCAAGAAGACTGGGAAAGATACCTGTGAACTGAATCCATGGCAGTTATACATGATGGGGGTTTTGCCTGGAATGACTCCCTGATCTAGGCAGACATTTTCATCCAATAGGTTTTTCATCTGAAGGGGCAAAACACATGGCGACACTGTTAGAAAGAGGCAGAGAATGAGCCCCATCCTTCCCCAGACCTACATTTTCCCCAACATGCTGAGGGCACCAGAACAACCAGCTGAAAGGAGCAGAGAGCTGGGATCCCGGCAGGCATTTTTTCTAAGCACTGGGAAACAGGCCAATGCTGAAGGGAGGTGCGGCGGCACTGCCCACATTCTGCAAACACCCACCACCTCAGAGCATCACCACACAGGGACGGGCGCCTCTGCGGAGTTCAGGTGGGCAAGGCCAGTCGCTGCAGTTGTTGGAGAAACCGAGAGAGTCCAGGCAAGAGCTACAGTTTTCAAAGGGACTAGAAGCAGAGACAAGGAAAAGAGATGGGGATCGGGGAGCAAGGAACGAAAGGAAACTGAGAGGGTTGAGGGCAAAGAGCTGAGGAGGAAGCCAGGTAAGAAGGGTGTCTTGGGCAGGACAGGCAATCACATGATTCAGGCTGCATTTTCTTTACAGTCAAACACGTAAAATCGAAAATGCAACTTCATCATACGCACCATTCCATAGCCTATGATGGTGTGTATTGGCTTCAAGAGTGGGTAAACATTTTTCAGGTACCAGTCAAAAGATTTACACTTCAGTTTTTCCCGGAGTGCCCTTCTGGAAGAAATGTCCCCAAAATCGATTCCGGAGTTCTGTAAACAAAACACCAAGTGTTTCTGTGCTTTGATTCATGAAAGTTCGTTAAAGCAAACTAAATATGGACTGTGAAGAACGCTGTATTTCTCTATTTGAGTCCTTGTGGATGAACTGCAACCTAACTTAATAGATACACAAGATGGAAAACCTAACTTAGGACTATGCGCCTGTACCAATAGCTGAGTCTACCTCAACCACTCAAACGCTGTCCAGTGTTCAAACTGTGTTCAAATAAGGCAAATGTGGAGCTGTAACCAGTCCAGCTGTTTCTATACTTCACTTCTGACATGTTTGTCAATTCCCTTTTTGTGTCTATCAATCTTCTTCTACCACATGGCTGCGCTGGAGTGTCTGAATCTGCTGTGATTCCGACTGCTGCCCAATTTGTGAATCATTCATTGCTCAGTCAAACTCCTTTAAATTTAATTTGGCTGAAGTTTTTCTTTTAACAGATCCTTAACTCCACCAGTGAGTATGGGTCACGCATGATGGAACTGAATATTTTTCTGATAGCCTGTGAAGTAACCTTGATGTTTTCATATTTCCAGGGAAAGTGGAAAACCCTTAAACCCTAGAAAATTCTGCTTTTTCAAATTCTGCTCTTTTAAGGCCTGCATAGTGGGGCCGCTCAGGTGTATTTCTCCTCATCAGCTAATGCAGACTGCTCCTGTTTGAGATGATATTTACATCAATAAATCCCCAAATCCTCCTCATGATGGCCGGAAAGGCTCTTGGGGCCAGGCATGGTGGCTCACGCCTGTAATCCCAGCACTTTGGGAGGCTGAGGTAGGCAGATTGCCTGAGCTCAAGAATTTGAGACCAGCCTGGGCAACATGGTGAAATCTTGTCTCTACTAAAAATACAAAAAAATTAGCTGGGCATGGTGGTGCATGCCTGTAGTCCCAGCTACTCAGGAGGCTGAGGCAGGAGAATTCCTTGAACTTAGGAGGTGGAGATTGCAGTGAGCCAAGATCGTGCCACAGCACTACAGCCTGGGTGACAGTGCGAGACTCTGTCTCAAGGCTCTTGGAAGAAATACTCTAATACCAACATTTGGAGATTAAAAGAGACGTGTTTAAAAGTGATATTTTGTGGAGAATCAATGTAAAATAATACTGAAGAGGCAAATTAGAAAAGGAAAGCAGAAACCACTTGTGTATCTGTCCTCCTCCCAGAATTTTCCCATGGTGCTCATTTAAGATCATCCCCTTTGAAAGTTTAGATCAACCTTAGATGGTTCAGTTGCTTTACAGACCATTCTTTGTACAGGTTGGGACAGTCACAATATGACTCCCTAGAAATAAAAAAACTAAGGATGTCCTGGAGGGTACTTGTTTTCCTATCATACGTTGGTATACTGGGACATCAGAATCTATTCTTACCCATCTTTCTTCAAACAATGAGCTAACTGTAAGAAGTTATGAGCAGCTTGGATTACAAAAGGAAGGATTTTGCTGACTTTAAAGAAGGCTCAGGCATTTCTGCACGTTTTTACATTCTCCCGACCTAGAGATCCTAGTGTTAGCCTGGCTCCTGACCCGAGGAGTCCTTCCAGACTTTCTCTTCTAGGTCCATCCACGGCTACCCACCATCCTGACCCCCTGGCTTTCTGGGGGCTACATCAGAACCCACTGTGATGGAGGGATGAGTTTGTCAATGAGATGACTGCTTCCTGTTGGTCAGCATGGCTCCATATGCTCTAGGCCAGAGCCAGAGCTCAGGGACATGAGACAGCATAGCATGCCAACCTTAAGCAGCCAGGGTATAAGATGTGGGCTGAGCTAAGAAGGCCATCGTTGGCTGGGCGCAGGGGCTAACACTTTTCATCTCAACAATTTGGGAGGCCAGGAGTTTCAGACCAGCCTGGGCAACATAGCATGAACCTGTCTCTACCAAAAAAACTTTTAAAAAAGTGCTATCCTTATTCTTGTTCATCCAACAAGATTACAGTGCATTCTTCTACCACCCCACACCACACATGCCATGTTTATGTCTCCCATTATGGAAGAGAGATGACGAACATGGAACTTAGGAACCAGATTTCCTTGGTTTGAATCTTTCTACCTGCATTACCATAAACAAGTTTCTTTCAACTCCATGTGCCTCAGTTTCCTCATCTGTGAAACTTAGAATAATAAAAATAAAACCTATCCATCCCCTACATATGTTGTGATGGCTAATAAGTCAATATATAAAAGGGTCCAGAATACAGTATTGTACTGTTACATAGATGTTAAAGCCATTATTACCACACCATCAGGACCTTACCCTAATTTTTTTTTTGAGATGGAGTTTTGCCGTTATTACCCAGGCTGGAGTGCAATGGCGTGATCTTGGCTCACTGTAATCTCTGCCTCCTGGGTTCAAGCAATTCTCCTGCCTCAGCCTCCCGAGTAGCTGGGACTACAGGCATGCGCCACCATGCCCAGCTAACTTTCGTATTTTTTTTTTTAGTAGTGACAGGATTTCACCTTGTTGACCAGGATGGTCTCGATCTCTTGACCTTGTGATCCACCCACCGCAGCCTCCCAAAGTGCTGGGATTATAGGTGTGAGCCACTGCGCCCAGCCCTTACCCTAATTCTTTAGGGCTGTTTTGGTACTTTTGTTTATCTCTCCCCATTACATAACTGCCATTTCCTCCTCTTTCATTCTTCCCTGCTGCTGTTCAATTCCATTACTCACCTGCAGAGGTATGTTCCAGGCCAAGTAGACCATGTGTTTATGCTCATCCATCCAGATTTCGGCCACTCGCAGAGCATTGCGCTTTAAGGCAGGGGTCAGATCCAAGGCATAGGGCTTGTGGTGTCTCTCTAGGTGACCAATACGGGAGCAGGGCAAAACTTCGATCTTCCCTCCACACTGCCACACCTGCAGAAAAAGACAAAAAAGATTACCTGTGCTTCACAGTCAGTGAATTGCATAGCTTACTGACACAGGAGACTACATTTTAGAACCATTTTTAAAGAATGTATTTCAGTCCTCCCGCTCCTGTCTTTATATTGCCTCCTATCCTTCTTATCTAAATCGTCATTCCTTAGAAGTTTACCAAACTGCTTCTCTCCTGTCATCCAAACAACTGCTGAAATCATACTTCTTTCAGGAAGTCTTCCTAAATGGACCAAAGGAGGGGCAGCCTCTGCTCCCTTATCCCCAAGGAAAGTGCCCATGTCCTGAGAGGTGCCGTGCCCTGAGCCACTCTCACTGCACTAAGTTTCTCATGCCCCTTCTCTGCCTGCATGCTAGACATAGGGCAGTGTGGCAGACAGACGCCAAAGTGGCCCCATGATTCCTCCTCCTGGTGTCCACAGCCTTGCCTGATCCCCTCCCCTTGAGTGTGGGCCTGTGACCTGCTTACAACCAACAGAATATGGCAAAGATGGCAGGATGTGCTTATTACATGTATCATGAATACACTCCAAAATGTAGAGTCCATTTTGCCAAGAGATGCTCTCTCTCGTTGGCTTTGAAGAAGCAAGCTGCCATGTTGTCAGCTAACACACGAAAAGGGAAGACATTAAGAGTGGCTTCCGACTGATACCTAGCATAAAACTGAATGCTTCCTGAGCCTGGAAGACCTTAGGGAACTGAATGCTGCCAGTAATAATGTAAGTCTGAAAGCAGTTCTTTCCACAATGAAGCCCAGATGAGAACCCGACTCTGGCTGATACCTTGATAGCAGTCTTACGGAGGACCCCGCTAAGCTGTGCATGGATCCCAGACCTGCAGAAACTGTGAGATAATGAATGCTTCTTGCTTTAAAACACTAAGTTTGTGATAACATTGTTATACAGCAATAAAAAACTAATTTGCATAATTTGACCAAAAGATACCAGGGGCTTATCTTCTAAGACCCAATTATAAACATTTGTTTTTACCATCCTAATGGGTACAAAACACACATTCTAATATTGGGCTTAGAAAACATGATCTTCATCTCAGTAGCTAATAGTACTACCTAATCATATTGGATTGATGCGATGTCTCCTGTGTCTTCTCTTCATGGTTGCCTAAGTGAGCTGCAGTTTCTAAGAGGTAATTAGCCCATAGCAGTGGCTACAACCTACCACACTCATGCCAAAGGGAGCCCCCTGAGAGAGGAGTGTGTAGCTTACCTCCCACTGGTTCAGTTAACATATCAAAACAGTGTCCAACGGAGTAGTCAGTCTCCTTATCTGACTTTCACATTGTTTTCATCCTTTTTCCACTGCTTAAAACCCTAGATTTGCCTTCCTCTGCACCCTATTTCCCAGAATAACAGAGTAAAAAAAGCAAGGCTTTGAAATCAGACTGACCTATGTTCAAATTCTGGTTCCATCACTGTACACCTGGCGGCTAGAGTGCTTTGCCTCCTATCCTTCTAATCTAAATCGTCATTCCTTAGAAGTTTACCAAACTGTTTCTCTCCTGTCATCCAAACAACTGCTGAAATCATACTTCCTTCAGGAAGTCTTCCTAAATGGACCAAAGGAGGGGCAGCCTCTGCTCCCTTATCCCCAAGGAAAGTGCCCATGTCCTGAGAGGTGCCGTGCCCTGTGCCCTGAGCCACTCTCACTGCACTAAGTTTCTCATGCCCCTTCTCTGCCTGCATGCTAGACATTGGTCCCCAGAATCATGTGGAGGTTACATCCCGCTTGCACTCAGGTGTTATTATTCTTTCTAGCCAAACATTCGAAAATCCAAATACAACCTTACTCCAATTTTCCTAGTTGATGAAGGTTTTCAACTCATATAAATGAGGGGCAAAAAATTAACTGTTGGCATAAAAAAAATCTTAAATTCAAGTTAAAAGTCAAGATTGCCTAGGCTGGGCATGGTGGCTCATGCCTGTAATCCCAGCACTTTTAGGGGGCTGAGGCGGACAGATCACTTGAGGTCAGGAGTTTGAGACCAGCCTGGCCAACATGGTGAAACCCTGTCTCTACTAAAAATACAAAAATTAGCCAGGTGTGGTGGTGCGCACCTGTAATCCCAGATACTCAGGAGGCTGAGGCAGGAGAATCACTTCAACTTGGGAGATGGAAGTTGCAATGAGCCTAGATCACACCACTGCACTCCAGCTTGGGGAATAGAGCGAGACTCTGTCTCAAAAGAAAAAAAAAAAGATCGCCATTTATGAAATAATGCTCATAATTAGCTTTCCCAAAAAGTTTTCAAACTCTGCTCTTCAAATTTAGTCCCAATTGTTAAACTCCTTTCATCATTTTTCTTTCTCTCTCTCTTTCTCACATACTCATATAGAGACATTAAGCTTCTCCTAATAATATTACTTTGTGCGATACACTGACCTAATACTGTCCATAAATTTAATCCTCACCATGCCGGTATCCCCCTTTAAGTAACCTGTCCATGTTTATCAGCTAGTAAATGACAGAGCTGCACTGTGAACCCAGGCAGTCACATGTTCAGTTCTGGCACAGTGCAAGAATACACAAGGTGCTCAACAAATGTTGTTTTGTTATTGTTGTTTTTGAGACAGAGTCTCTTTCTTGTTGCCTGGGATGGAGTGCTATGGTGCAATCCCAGCTCACAGCAACCTCCGCCTCCTGGGTTCAAGCGATTCTCCTGCCTTAGCCTCCCAAGTAGCTGGGATTACAGGCATACACCACCACACCTAGCTAGTTTTGTATTTTTAGTAGAGATGAGGTTTCCCCATGTTGGTCAGGCTCGTCTTGAACTCTCAACCTCAGGCAATCCTCCCACCTCAGCCTCCCAGAGTACTGAGATTACAGGTGTGAGCCACCACACCCAGCCCCATCTCCCTTCTTAACTTTTCCTACCCATCATCTCAATTTACACACATTAATGAGCACCATCCCTGCCATGGCCACTAGATGTCAGAGTAAAGCACTCCATGCAGCTCTGATATTCAAGATCTACTACTGGATAAAGATCTTAATAAGGGCTTAGACGTTTTAAAAGGCAAATAGTCACACACAAACCAAGAAGCTGGATATAAGCAGAACTGCTTGATCCAAGGAAAAAGGGTGACTGTATATTTTAATCAAAGTCCATTTTAAAAATTACAAAATATTAAAGAAATAGAATTTCTTGTAGAAACTGAAATGGCAGTGTTCCATGTGTATTTGGAAGAATGAAAACAGAGAGACTCAGCCTAGATGTAGAAGAGGAGAACAAAGCATAAGGAACTCTGAAATAATAAGGGCTTTGGGTCCTAAGTTGAAGAATTGGGGTTCCAGCCAAATTCACCTAAAGTTCTGGTAGATAAGAAAACCAGCCACAAAGTCTGGGGTCATCCTCAAGGTTTTGCTAAGTGCCATGTGTAAAGTAATTCTTTTTGCATTTATATTTTGTATGTTAGAGACTACTTGTACTCCTGATGTGTATTCTGCTCTATATTTACAATTATAGAACAAACATCTGGGCGCATAACACACTAAAGTCTATACTTCCCAGACTCCTTTGCACACAGGTGTGGCCATGGGACTAGGTAATGATTAATAGAATGTGAAAAGAAACAACATACACAACTTTCAGATAGTGCTCTTAAAAAGAAAGAGCTTGCTTTCTCTTTCCCCCTTTTCTCTTACTACTGGCTAGAATACAAATATGGTGTTGAATGTGGCAGGACCACAGAATAAAACTCTTGGTCCCTGTCACCCTAGAGCCACCATATCAATCCTGAACTGCTTATGTTCAAGTAAGTTAAGGAAAGAGAAATTACTTTCTATCATATTGAAGATTCTGTTATTTTAGCCTCTGTCAGAGAAGCTGAATGAGCATTCTAATTAATATCCTTATAAAGTCATATCAAATTCATTATTACATGATGACTTCTTATGAAGTACATTAAACAAAATCTTTCTCTTAATTTCACAAATGGGAAAACCGATCAAGACCACTGTATTTGTCTGTTTTCATACTTCTATAAAGAAACTGTCTGAGACTGGGTAATTTATAAAGGGAAGAAGTTTAATTGACTTACAATTCAGCATGGGTGGGGAGGCCTCTGGAAAATTACATCTTAAATTATAATCCCCATAATCCTCACATGTCAAAGGAGAGACCAGGTGAAAGTAATTGGATCATGGGAGGGTTTCCCACATGCTGTTTTTCTGATAGAGAGTTTTCAGAAGATCTGATGGTTTCATAAGTGTTTGGTAGTTCCTCCGGCATTCATTTTCCTTCCTGCCACCTTGTGAAGAAGGTACCGTGCTTCCCCTTTACCTTCCGCCATGATGGTAATTTTTCTTATGGGCTAATTACCTCTTGGAAACATGAGACTGTATCCACCTTGAGTCAATCCCAGAATCCTAGAACAAGGGGTCCTTCTACCTTTCTATTACTTCCATTTCTGCTTTGTCCCATAAAGTGAAAGGAAATGTACCCACCCTTAGGCTAAGTTCCACGTTCTCTCCTCCATAGATGAGCATTCCACCATCCAGAGACCCGATCTCTCCCAGGAAGAGCCTGTTAGCAGCCAGGATGCCCATGATTGAAGGACTCCTACAGAGCACACAGCAAGGGGTGGGATGCTCAACGATCATTTGAACTTCAGAACTCTACCTAAGTCTGTTCTTATGAGGCCCTCCCTAAACCCTCAGGCTGGACTAAGTGCATGTAGCTTTCCCTGGCCCACTGTGTTATCATAACCCTTCTCAAAATATATTGAAATTATATCTTTTTCATCTAGATATCCTTACTTCACAGCCTGCTAATGCTTGCAATGGCCCAAATGCTTTCCACAATTTTAAATTTTGGAAATTTTTCATTTAAAAATAACTAAAAGAATTTTAAATTTTGGAAAGCATTTGGGCCAAGCATTAGCAGACTATGACGGCTTGATTTTTGCCTGAAAGTCCCTAAATAGCCCAACATGTCTGTGATTTCTTAACTGGGATAAGTCATTGGGTTTTTTTTTTTCCCTCTATCCCTTGTCCTTTACCTCAGCCCCTCCCTTCCTTCCACCTCACCCCAATTACACCACCAAAGATAAACAAAATCCATGCAGTTCATCCCTGCCTTCCCAGGTGCTACCCACGTTCCCTGAACCTGCTCAGACTTACTTCACTGGGGCAGTGACATCACGCAGATCAATCCAGGCTTGTGGCAGTGCATCGTAGCGACACCAGAGTTCCCAGTTAAACCCATCAACTGCCAGTTGATACTTATCCAGTTCAAAGGTGTCAAAATGAATGTTGTCAAACACAGGAGACACAATCACGGTGTGGTCTTCCTGAATCCGAGCCAAGATTGGCTCTGCCCTAGAAGAAGAGCGTCTTCTTCATGGGCATCTGCTCCAAGCACCTTGCCCTAACATTGAGCACCTCCTCCATTTAGGCTGTGCTGGGTTGTGAGTAGAACTCTCCAGAGTCCAGAGAATCTCTGTACCTTTTGAGGTAGCCAAAGCTGCTAGCAGCCAACCCGTGTCAAGAACAGGTTTGAAACTAGTACCCAAGGAGCACCCCCTGGCCATTGTGAAGCAGGATTATCAGTATTTATATTACTTCTTGAATTTACGTTATCTCTTGATTCTCCCTGTTTCCAAAATGATGCTTCTTTCCTGTCTGATTCTCCACATTCTCTAAAGAACATAGCACTCTTTATTATATCGTGTCATTTCAGGGCTGCAGAAAAATCTTTAAAATAAAGACTAATCTATTCATCTTTACAGTTAAAGATACAATGTCTAGTTAAGTGAAGTGACTTATTCAAATTCACAAAGTATTTGACAAAGTCAGAGTTATGATCCAACTGTCAATACTCTCCACCACGCTACTTCTCTTAGCCAAGCAAAATGCCTGCATAAAAGCATGCTCTTTTGGAGTTTCCCTCTGTTCAAGGTCTGGTGCTGACTTTCCCTATGTCCACAGTATCCTGTCTTGTGTTTAATACACGCCCAAGACCTCCTCTCTGCCCCTTCCAGAAGAATCAGCTTCCTTGAGCCTTACCATCCAACATTGACTTCAATGTGAGCATCCAAGATGGCGACCACGTCTGCTGTGGCAGCTTCCCAGCCACTGTTGCGGGCTTGAGCAAGACCTTTCCTCTCGGGGTGCCGTATTATTTTCAGTAGTCCTGGATACTTCTGGTTGTAAAGTTTAATCGTCTCATTCAAGTGTACCTTTAGTTCTCCTGTCAACCAAGTGCACACCTATAGAAATCCTGAGTGCAATAATCAATGTGATACAGAAGTTTTATACTATTCTATAATAGTGGCTGGACTATATCCAGCATAAAATGGGCACTTTGAAGAGTCAACTAGAAGAGTAGTATTTCCCCTGTGCCTGCCTCTCTTCTTCCTTTCACCTGAAGTGTACTGTGATCATTCCTAATTTCCTTTCCCTCACAGTTAAACTATCTTAGAATGATAATACTGCTTACTATGTGTCAGGCACTGTCACAGGTGCTTTTTAACATTGAGAAGTTCTTGACAGAATGAGTAGGACAGACCTAGCCTAACTAAGGTACCATGGTTCTCCTGGGCTCTGGCAATCCTCTGCCTTGGCCTCCCAAAGTGCTGGAATTACAGGCATGGTGACTCATTGTCACCATATATTGTATAACCTACCATATTTTGTAGATTGTATATATATACATACAATCTACAAACGTACCAGATATTCAGGACCCTTCCAACTCTAAATTTTTATGACTGTAGATTCTGAGTCACCTCCTGAGAAATAATGCCTATCATATAGCACAAAAATTAAGGATGCCTCAACGGGCCTTCTGAAGACAACCTATGCTCCCTTCCCAGCTTGCCCTCCTACTGGTCTCTTCCCCAAACCTGTTATTTCAAGCTGGTCAGCTCAGGGTGCTTCTGTATTCCTCATTTTTGTTCATACCATTCTTTCTGCACTCCCTAGTTCTCTACCCCAACCCAGTTTCTGAGTCTTCCTTCCTTTCCTCTGATGTCTCAAATCCTACGAAGCCTTCAAGTCCCGATGCAAGCCCATCTCCTCCAGAAATCCTCCTTAGATCATCACGCCCCCCTCTCTGTGCTTTCTGATGCTCACTGACAGTTCACTTGGTTTGTCACACTATCTCTACACATTGACATATCTTTCCACAGGTTGTCTTGCCTCATCAATTAAGATGGAAACTTCTTGAACTCTCTGACATCCTCTTCCCTGCCCAGTGCTTGGCACATGGTAGAAACTCCACATGTAGCTGTTAATTGTGTAATTTTCCTAAAATTAGGGAGAAAATACAGCATTCCATCTACCTTGATATAATTTCTAAAAAGCTTAGATCTCATCTAACATTTAACATTCGAGCTCAAAATATTTGTGTGATGTGAATAAAGCTTAACATCTAGGGAAAGACAGAAAAGAGGCAAATCTCTGGTGCTGGGTTGTAGCATTTCAAAAGTACTACAGATAATACTGAGATAGGTGATAGGCGAGGAGCAGAACACTAGCTAGCACGTAATGGGAACAGGCTCTCTCCTGAGCCCTTTACACATGATTTAATCCCAGAACTGGTCCTACCAGGCAGACACCATTATTTCCTGATGTTACAGATGCAGAAACTGAGGTGCGAAGTGGTTGAGTCAGTTGCCCCCAAATTCACATGGATAGTGAGTTTCTCTTTAGACATGCATAGTAGAGAGTTCCATTTATTTTCCTGTTTAACACAAAACAGATATTTGAGTTGTGCTTGGTGTAGGCCCAATTTGGCTGGTGTTTTCCTGGTCAATGAGAGAGACTCTCTAATTCCTGTCCCTGTAACACTGGAGAATGGCAGACAGTCTTGTGTGACCATCCAAACAAATCATCTCTGTGGAAAACGAAAATGGGCTTTAGACCCAAAGAATGTGTTATGATGGAGTGCAATTTAGAACAATAAGAAAGCTTTGGCTTTTCTTTATGTGTCTACCCTGTATTTTTTTTTATTTTGTTGTTCCACAGGAAAAAGTCCCAAATTAAGTCTTATCTACATCCCATCAACATAGAGGTATAAGCTGACTGATTTTTTTTTCACAGGAAAAGGTATCTTTCACAGTATTCCAGCTCAACCACTGCAATTGCCTCATGAAGACCCTGAGTCCCAAAGAGGTGAGGGGACTTGCCTAAGTGTCTTCAGAAGCCTAGGGCAGACATCTTTCTAATCAAGCTCCTATTTTTGGCTTGGAAAACCAGGTGTGCAACTTGTTAACAGTCTCCATGCCCAGAAATGAATGAAATCTGTCTCTTTTCTCTGGTTTTCAGTGGAATTTTACTTTAAGAATTGTACCTTCTTATTTTTGTTTAGTTACATTGGAAGCATAAGAGAGGAAGATCTGCAAAGGATGAAGATAAATATTTTTAGTGTGGAAGTCTAAAAAGGAAGGTTTAAGCAATCATTTTGTTTGCTCTCTCCTGAGAGACAGGTTGAAGGTACAATAACCTATCTTGTACTTATAGATCCCCAGAGAAGGAACATAATCTGCCTCCAAGGAGCTGCCACTCCATAAACCTTATAGTCAGAAATTTTTTCCTTACTGCTAGCCCAAACATCTAAGTTTTCATAAGTTAATTCTGCTCTCTTTTATTTGTTGCATAAAATCAATAAAACTAAGAGCCGACACTTGCTGAGAGGCTACCATGTGCTAAATGCTAAATGCTTTACATAATTCATGTTTTTGGTTTTTTTTGTTTGAGACGGAGTCTCGCTCTGTCACACAGGCTGGAGTGCAATGGCGCACTCAAGGCTCACTGCAACCTCTGCCTCTTGGGTTAAAGTGATTCTCCTGCCTCAGCCTCCCAAGTAGCTGGGATTACAGGTGCACAGCACCACGCCTGGCTAATTTTTATATTTTTAGTAGAGACGAGGTTTTACCATGTTGGTCAGACTGGTCTCAAACCTCGTGATCTGCCCTCCTCAGCCTCCCAAAGTGCTGGATCACAGGCGCGAGCCACTGCGTCCGCCCATAATTCATGTATTATAAAAGGAACATAGTGATTAGAACTAGGGCTCAGAACTTTGAAGTTTATGGTCAAATCTCAACTCTGTCACTTACCATCTGCAGGATATGGAATGAGTTCCTTGATCAGTCCATGCCTTAGTTTTGTGCATCTGTATAATGGATCAAAAAGTGGTTCCTTCCTCATAGGGTTGTTATAATGATTAAAATAATTAACACATGTAAGGTGCTTAGAACAAGCAATGTTAGCTGCCATGATTATCTCATTTAATTCTCACTTAGTTCATAAAACAGTTATTATCAACATTCATATTTTGTGTATAAGAAAACTAGAGCATGCAGTCGTTGAGTTACCCAAGGACGTAACTCTTACAAAGGAGAAGCCGGAGTATGAACTCAGAAAGTGAGGACTCAGGTCCACTGTCTTCCACGTCTCTTCCTTGGGTGGGCTAGACTCAGGGCAGGGGGCACCCTGTGGGCAAGAGCCGTTGCCACTTTGAAGAGTCAGCACCCAAAGCTCTCTTTTCTCCAGGCTTAGTGATCCAGGAAGAACAGTCTATTCCTCATAAGGAGCAACTCTAAGTCCCTTCCTGGCATCTAGGGTCCTCCTCTAGACTCTGTTTCACCCCACAGGCTCCTTCGTGGTAACTGGGAGGGGCGCAGGTAGATTTGGAGGCACACAGTCCTGGCCTAACTCTCAGCTCTGCCACTGGCTCACAGTCCAATTTAAGCACACTATGTGATCTCTCAAAGTCTTAGTTTCCTCATCTGTGTAACTGAGATAACTATCCTCTGTCTTGACTTTGCGAGGATTAAATGTGGCTAGCACAAATAGACCCTCAACTAATGATCTTTTTATTTTCCCTACAAGAGAAACCCAAGGTGTCCTAAACTCTAAGCCAAACCTCTTTCCAGCCAAGCACAGATGACAAGTGACAATTTTTACAATTATTCTTTATCATGTTGCTCACCATTTGAGCTGAAATCATCCACCAAGATTATTTCCTTCAACCATCGAGATGGTGTCCGGTTGATGACACTGGTGATGGCCCGTTGTATAATGGACAGAGCTTCATCCATGAATATGAGAATGACACTGAGGGATGGGAGTTGGGAAGGATACATCTTCTGAAGACACCTATAAGAGATCGTTTTTATAACCATATTTTTTTAATTACTGAAACACTGCTATCCAATCTTTCCCTTCACTCTATATGATGTTATATCAACCAATTCATCCACCTCTCAAATTCACTGGAAAGCAAAACTCTTAGTGGCTTATCACAGTAGCAAGATTTTATATTCATTTATGCAAAGTTCTTCTGTTATGAGGATAAACCATCTTGTATTAATCTTTACTAAATGTTTCCGTTTGAACATTCAACACACTTCAAAAGGAATTCCCATTCCTCTCCCGCGCCCGGATTAGTTTCCTTGCTGGCAGCCTTTTTCCTGTCATTGCCACAGCCCTTTTAGCATGTTCTCAGATCCCAGTTACCTTTGACACAACCATCTACTTCACCACCAGAGACAGGTGGTAGACTGCTCAGAGAATTGTGCTTAACACATTTTTTTAAATCCTAGCCTACATTTTTATTAAATGCTTACCATATGCTAGGCACTGGTTTACCCATTTTATAGCTTTATTGGGGTTTGATACACAAAAACTGCACATATGCACACACCCACAATACCAATATAAAGGTAATAAACTTATATATCAGTTCCAAAAGTTTTCTTCTATATCTTTGCCCATTTTTAATTTGTTTTATTATTGAGTTTTATAAGCACTCTTTATATATTCTACATTTCTTATCAGATGTATGGTTTGCAAATATTTTCTCCCACTCCATGGGCAGTCTTTTCACTTTCTTGATGGTATTATTTGCAGCAAAAACAAAGTTAGTTTTGATAAAGTTCAACTTTTCAATTTTGTTTCACTTATGCTTTTGGTGTCATGTCTGAGAAACTCTTGCCAACATGCTCTTTCTCAATATTTGATGTTTTTCTGTTTTCGTTTTTGTTTTGCTAAGAGTTTTATAGTTTTATCTCTTGTATTTACATCTATGACCATTTTGTGTTAATATTGGTGTATGGTGTGAAGAGGGATCCAACTTCATTATTTTTCTTCTAGATATCCATTTGTCCCAGCACCCATTTGTTGAATAGACTATTCTCTCTCCATTGCATTGTCTTGGCACCTTTGTCAACAATCACTTGATCATAACTTTAAGTGTATATTTCTTTTTCCCTGTGTAAAAGGGTACAGGGAGCTAAAGTTGGGTGTTTTCCTTTCACCATGTAGAAAGCTAAAGCAGGCTGGAGTTGAATATTCCCCTTCCTCCAGGTAAGTTAGTGTCTTAGTCCATTTTGCACAACTCTAACAGTATACCGGAGACTGGATAACTTGTAATGAACAGAAATTTATTGGCTCATGGTTCTTGAGGCTAGTAAGTCTAATATCAAGGTGCTGGCGTCTGGCGAGGGCCTTCATACTGAGTTATAATACGTCAAAAGGCATCACAGGGCAAAAGGAGCAAACAGAAGGATGAAAAAAACAAGAACCCAGTCCCATGATAACAAACTCACTCTCATGATAATGAAGTGGTAAGAGCATTACATTAGCCCATTCACAAGAGCAGAGCCTTCATGACCCAAATACCTCTTCAATGTCCCACTTCCCAATACTATTGCAATGGCAAATAAATTCTAATTTGAGTTTCAGAGAGGACAAGCATTCAAACCACAGCAGTTAGGCTATCATAAAACCCCAGCAGGTTAGGCTCTGGCAAAATAGTTTCTCTTTCAGGCAGACCTTGTTAAGAAGAACAGAATAATCTGGCAAATTTCAAAATGGTTCCTTTCACCTCTTCCTTCCCCTCTCCCTCCCAGAGGCAGGAGGAGATTTTTCTCTGATATTTACTGTGAGGATCTGGTACAGGTCCTGGAGGTAAAATGTACACAAGTGTAGGAGCCCCTGTGACTGTGTCTCCTTGGAGTGTTTAATTCTCAGACTTGTCCTCAGTTCATCAATTTTCAGTACAGGTTTTCCTATCCAAGCACTGGTTCCCATAGCTTCTGCTGTGGTAAAGTTGTGAGTCTCTGTATCCATTTGTCTGTCTTTCCAATTCTGGGGGGAGCACTTTGCCCTGCAATGTCCCTTCTCTAAAAGACCTGAGAAGAGTTTATTTTTCCATTTTTTCTGCTTTTTACTGGTTATTAGGATAGAGTTGGGACTTCTAAGCTTCTTAAAAGCCACAGCAGAAAATGAAAGTCAAACTCCTCATTTCTATTACTGTACTTTTCAATTTTAGAATGATCATTTGGCATCTTTTTAAAATTTATAAGTTTTTATTGGTAGTTTCTGTTTCATGAGACATTGTCATTATAACCTTCCTTTAATGCTTTAGACATGGCTAACTTTAGTTCTTTGAATATATTTATAATGATGGCTTTGAAGTCATTATCAGCTAAGTCCAATATCTGGGCCCCTTCTAAAGTCTGTTGCTTTGTTTTCTCTTGTGCATGAGTTACTACTCTTTCCTGTATCTTCGTATGTCTCATAATTTCTTATCAAAAATTCATTATTTTAGACTAAGTGCCTAGTCACTCTGTATATAACCCAGGAGTAGATGTCATTGTAATTTGCTTGGTTGTTCATTTATTCTGTTACTGATTTGGCTGAACTAATGTGCAAAGTCTACAAAATCTATTTCTCCTGCAGTGTTCAGCCTTTAATGCTCATGAGCTCGATCTTTTTTTTTTCCTTGTTTGTCTCTTTTAGCCTGGTTACCTAGGGGTTGCTTCTAGGTCATCATAAATTACTTACTCATCAGGGATTGGATTTAAAGCTGCTTGGTTGATTAGATTTTTGGATATATGCGGCATGGAGGCTGTGATCACAGTTCAGGGAGTTGACAGTTTGACCGACATACTGGTAGCTTGGATTTTTTCTCTGTGATAACTCCTAAAAGAGCACAGCTGTAGGTATGCACATAGTCTTCCAGATTACCAGGGATGTGCATGATTTTATTTTTCATCCTGACTTCCCAGTAGTTGCCTCTGAGTCAGAGCAGTTTATTGTTCAAACAGTATTTGTTCAGAAGTTGGGCTTAAGCCTCTAGTGCCAGTGAGGCTTCAGCTGTTTGCTGACAGATCTGTGTTCTGGCTAGCAAATGGTTTTTAGTCTTCCCCTCATTCTACTCTTGCTGTTCCTGAGCAAGTTCAGTCTGGTGCTTGCACACAAACTTCGAGATCACCCAGAAATGAGTGTGGTCCGAGGGGGACTCTTTTGGCAGTCCTTTTCCCTGATTCTTCCTGGGAAATTTCTGGTGGTTCTGCCATTTGGCTTGTTGCTATCAGTACTATGGAGCTATGAGCATACTCTTTAATTTTCTCCACCAAGATCTCTATTGTTTCAGACAATACCATTGGGCGTGGAATTCTTTATCATCTGTTCCAAATAAGGTCAGTCCCTAAAATAGAGCTGGGGAGGTTTTCATTCATCCTGCCTTTCCTCCTTAACAGAACTTCTGCACTACTGCACAGGAGCTGGAAGTGGAGACAGAAGCCCACTTCTAGAATGACACCCTGCTCTACAGGTAGATGTGGGCTGGAGGGAAGTAGCTGGCAGCCCCGGGAGCTCCTGGCCTTAGCTTGTGCATTCTGGCATGGAACTTCCACAGTTGGGGAAGGGGCAACTGGAGCCCAGTGTTCTTGGACTCATGCACATGGAATTGAAATTTCACCCTATGAGTAGAGGCAAAGTGGAAGAAAGAAGTCACAATTGTCCCTCTCAATCCCCTCCACTAGGAATAAAGCTTTTGCATTCCTAGTGGAGGAAGGTGAAGATGTGAAATGTGGGTGGCCTGCCCTTCCTGGGGTGATACTAAGGACCCATGGATGCTAGGACCTGCAGGGACAGGAAGCCCCCTTCCTGACCACAGCCACCCAGAGCAGAGAACCGTGAGTAGTTTCTGTAAGACAGTGTGAGGGTAGGTGGGGGGAACGAGTCATGGCTGCAATACCACAGACTCCTGCTGTTCTTAGGATATTTAGTAGGTTTTCTTGAAAGAATGTTTTTCCATTTGCATATTCCCTTAGGACGGTTTATAAAAAAATTTAAATAATTATAATTTTATCCAGTCAAATAGTTGTTTTGCTAGGGAAAGAAAATGTTGCACTCAACACTTTGCTGCTCTGGAAGGAAGCCTCCATTCACACATTTTTTAAAAAATTTAAAGTAGTTGCCAACATATGAATCCAGATTTATTATCTCTCTGACAAACCGAATATTTATCTCACTGCAACCACTTTTCCAGCAGATAGCCCCTGCTCTGTCCAGAGCCAGGGCTCTGCAGTTACAGTGTAGCTCATGTTTACCCATTCACCATTGCCTTCACCCCAAACTCTCACATCGTGGATGCTGGTAGGGATTTGAATTGCACCTCTGAAACTGCAAGGGGATTTTAGGCAAAAGCCAAAATGCAGGTGAATGCCAGGGACACAAAAGGACACACAATCTTTGGAGAACTGCCCTGCTTAGTAGTAGAGCCAAGAGATATGAGGCTTGACAGACAAGAGGGACTGAACATTGGAAGCTAGGAAGATGGACTTTACCCTAGAGGAACTAAAAGATTTTTTTTTGAGACAGAGTCTCACTGTCACCCAGGTTGGACTGCAGTGGTATGATCTTGGCTTACTGCAACCTTCACTTCCTGGGTCAAGCGATTCTCCTGCCTCAGCCTCCTGAGTAGCTAGGATTACAGGTGTGCACCATCACACCCAGCTAATTTTTGTATTTTTAGTAAAGACAGGGTTTCACCATATTGGCCAGGCTGGTCTTGAACACCTGACCTCAAATGATCCACCCACCATGGCCTCCTAAAGTGCTGGAATTATAGGCGTCAGCCACCACGTAGGGCCTAGACTAAAGGATTTTAAGCAAAGGATTGGTATGATCACATCATCATTTTAAAGAAACCATTCTGGCTGCCATGAGGACGACAGAAAGTAATCAGCCACATGTGAACACCATAATAGGGTGGGAAGGTATGAAGACCTCACCTAAGGCCTACCCTGGAAAAAGAAAGGAGTGAAAGGAAGATACTTTCAACCTGATTTCCTCATCACTCATTACTCAAATGTGGTGGGCAGATGGAAGTTGGAGGGGCAATACTAGATCACAATGCTTCTCAGATGCCAACAACACCAGCACACAAATCACTTGGGGATCTTGTTAAAGGGCAGACTCTCATCAGTAGATCTGAGCAGGGTCTGAGATCCTGAATTTCTTCCAGGCTCCCAAGTGATGCCAGTGCTCTAAGAGTGTGGGACAGTAGTGAGAGAAGAGGCAGAGTCTCCAGAAAGACCTGTATTCACTCGAGCTGCAGCTGTCACTTTCTATCTGCATGATCTCTTTGTGCTTCTCTTCCTTTTCTTATTTGTAAAATGGTGAGGGTGGTGGTGGTAGCAGTAGTAATCCTCATATCATAGTGTTATTATGAGGTTCAAATGTGGTAATGTGCAGAAGTGCTCAGAATAAAAGAAGCTCCATAAAGGTTGTCTGCTATTCTTACTACTTTGGTGGTTATTATTGTTCTTGTTGCATTATTACTTGGACAATGGCAACATTCACTGAGCTAGGAGCTGTAAGAGGAGAAAAAGAAATTGATAAACTTAGCTTTGGCCATGTGGAGTCTGAGATGCCTCTGAGTCACACCATGGAATTCCCTGGCAGGTCGCTGCATATGTGGTTCCAACTTCCCTCAGAGGAACAGTCTGGATTACAGTCCCGTGGATTTGGGAGTCATTGCCATGTAAGTGGTGAATTAGTAAGTGGATAAAATCACCTTAACTACCAGCAGAAAGGAGCCTTGGAATAAAGCCCAAAGATAATCAATACTTAAAGCACTGGCAGAGGAGCCTGGAAGAGATGAGCTTTAAACTTTTTCAAGCCTAGTGGCAGTTCTTAATGTCTGGTACAAGATGGTTATCTAAGAAATCTGTATTCAATTGAGAGTAAGAATCGGTGATTATGTTAAATTAAAGACTGATTAAAATTCTGCTGAACTTCTCTTTCCTCTAATTCACATAATCACATCAGTGACTTAGATTTTCTTTCCTCCACCAGTTCCTGTCCATCTTTTGCATATTCTTGGCTATATTTTAAATGCTTTTACGACACTTCTCTTATCCATACCTGCATTTTCTTACCCACTGTATATCAATCAAAAGAGTTAGGAGTCGGTTATCTTCTCTGAGCTGTCATTATAAAATGAATTAAAAACAAGAACTTTGCTCAGCCACGACCCCTTCCCCACCAATCCCTCACTCCCCCAACCTTCAATGTTCACTGCTCCCAAAGCTCATCCTCAAATCAAACTGAGGTCACTGAAAGCCCACACCTGGTTCCTCCCACCTGTTGTCTCGAGTGTCGGGGATGGTGCGATTGAGAGGCAGCTGGTTGCTGAGGTACACATTGTAACCAAACCTCCGGAAAAGGTCCTGGGCCTTTATCTGCTGGGCCTCGGAAAGATCCTCACCCCAGTGCCTGAAAAGTTGTGAGTGAGGGAAGAGTTTAACTTGGGTTTTGTGCTTCTTTGTCTCATTCACTGTGGCTTCCACTGCCTTTAGCACAGGTCGTACTTCATCTTTCACTCTCTTCAGTGTGGTGTTCACATTTTCCTGTTGCCTCAGAGCCAATTTCACACTTTCTTCTGCAAATGAAGAGGATGGGGGTGGGAGAGAAAACATGTCAGGCCCTCGTCAGTTACCTGGGGATTCCTTTCCATCCTAATTTCCTTCAAATGGTTTACTCCCTACATCTTAAAATTCACAAGCTCTTGTCTCAGAGGATGTAATATATCAGGGAACTTGTCCAGCCATGCAAGGCTGTCCCAGCAAAGTATGTACTAGATACATCTCTCCCTTTAGCCCCATCAAAACTCCTCCATCCCACATCTTCAAAGCTCCTGGAAAAACTGACTCACTATGATCTCAGAAATAGGTGGAAAATCAGCTAATTTTTTTCAGTGAGGCCCGAGAACCACTTACATCAAATCATCTGTTGTGATTTTTTAAAAATGTGGATACCCAGGCTAATCTCCAAATCCACTAAATCAGAATCTGAGAGTCACGTGGGAATGCAGATGGGAGAAATTACAACAATCTGCTTTTTGGCCAGGCGCAGTGGCTCACACCTGTAATCCCAGCACTTTGGGAGGTAGAGGCAGGCAGATCAAGAAGTCAAGAGATCGAGACCATCCTAGCCCATATGGTGAAACCCCGTCTCTACTAAAAATACAAAAAATTAGCCGGCTGTGGTGGTGCGCGCCTGTAGTCCCAGCTACTCGGGAGGCTGAGGCAGGAGAATTGCTTGAAACAGGAAAATGGAAGTTGCGGCGAGCCGGGATCAAGCCACTGCACTCCAGCCTGGCGATAGAGCGAGACTCTCTCTCAGAAAAAAAAAAAAAGAATCTGCTTTTTAATAAAACCAAGGAGTAATGCTTTTTATAGTAAAATTTAAGAAACACTTACTACACCCTTAGTGTCTAACAAAGGCAAATCTGCTGTAACCACTGCCACCATCATCCACCCCTGCCCTGGCTTCTCGTGTGTTTGATTTATGAGGAACTTCAAAATTGGAGCTGTCGTAGTCTTGCAATTTCCAACTTGCATGATCATAAGAATGTCCTCAAAAGCTTGTTAAAAATACAGAATCCCAAGCCTCCCCTACAGATTCTGACTCAGTTCTAGGATAGAGCCTGAGAATCTGTATTTGTAACAATTGCTCTAGATAAATCTAATTGTCGCATTAATTTGAGAAACACCGCTTAACACAAAAGAATGAACAGAAAGTGATAGACCCAGGCAGAGGATGTTTTACACAGAAGACATCCTCCAGGATCCATGACATCATCTATTATTTACCTCACCTTTCTACCCAGTAAGATTTGTACTGGAGTGTCTTATCATATGCACCTTGAACTCCCTCAAGCTCAATCTGTGAACTCAGCAAAAAGGAAGAAAAAGTAACCATTTTAGTGTTTAGTGATTATGACATTCTTTGGCACTAAATCCCACAATGGTGATCAAGGATTTCTGACACAGGATCCACTTCGTTCCTGCTAATCTTCCCCTAAACCCACACTAAACTTCAGCCAGACTGACAGGATCAACTTCATTCGGTTCAGCATCTTCCTACAAGCTAGAAGAAGGCATTCTTCTTTTCTGGATGATTGTAACTCAGGGTCACCAGCTTGGTGAGGGGACAGCCCCATTTTGTGAATTTTCTCTGGGTAGACGCATCTCATGCCACAGCACATGGCTTGGCAAGCAGAATGTGGGCTGGATTTCAGATCCATATGCAGCCCCCAAGAGGGAAGCAGGTAAGTCCTATAACTGGGAGGAGAACATGTTTGTAAAGTGACGTAAGACTGGCCCAAAAAGAAGGAAAAGGAGAAAGAGAATCAACTCTCGAAGAGGTTAAGACAAAAAGAGGATAGTCAAAAAACTTGGGCAAAAAGTAAATGGTAGATCTGTCAAAGGAGGCTCATGTGAACACCATGCATATTTGCTCGGGTAGAAAAAAGAAGTGAGAGCATACTGCTTACAGTGTCCCGGATGAAACAGTATGGTTATTCATACTTTTCTGTCCTAAGCATACAGGGGTCGCAGGGTGGAAATGGGTTCTTCCTACCTCTAAGCTCCTCTGCATTCTTCCTTGGGAGATATCTGATGTTCTCCTTCACTCATGGCTGTCAGTAGGAGCTGGTTTGGACTTGGACATCCTAAAGTCAATTTAAGGAAATGCATAATCTGGTAGTATGACTACAATGTCACTAAGACACCCCCATAACTTATATTGAAACCTTCCAAGCCCCAAAAGGGACATGCCCAATGACACTGCCCTGATGGGGCTTTTATGAACCCTGAGGGAGGTTCCAGAAAACTGGCTTGGAGTCCTTGATCCCTCCCTCAATAGGGATATAATTATTATTGTTTGCTTTTGCTCTGGATAGCTTGCATGATTCAACCAAGCATACTTATTGACTTATGATTTTCTTTCATCTTCCTGGGATCCTGGAGGCAATGAGCAAACAGGATGAAGGGGAATTAAACAGGCTTTAGCTGCAGGAACCTCTGTGGGGAAAAGAGCACTGGGGATCTAGAAACAAGGCCTAGAAGACTTTCTGAGGTTCATCTCAGGTGGTAGTGAGTCTCTGACATCACATCACTTCAGAGAAAATAAAATGTGGGAGCACCAAGAATAACAAGAAAGGTCTCTGCAAAGAAGGAAAGAGAACTAAACCAGATGGCTCTGGCTGGCTCCTCATGGCACGCTGTGTCCTAGCTGAAGGAAAGAATAGTGGGGCTGTGGGTAGAACTCCTGCCATCTTACGGCTTGAGGAGGCTAGGCCTTGGGAAAGGGTGAGTCCTGGTGTGGCCTGGGTGCTCTGCCTAGAAGTGAGGGTGGCGCTGGGGTTACCACCCTAGGTACACAGGCATTCTCCTGGGGAAGCTGCACTAAGCATATTTGCATGAGCAATGTCCAACCCACCCAGGTAAGCCAGGGCTTGTGGAGCTGACAATCCTGTTTCCTCCGCTCTCTTGCTGGGTATCACTCTTCCCGTCATTCCTGTCTGCCTGTCTTTTTCCCTCTCTTTCCTAGACCCACCCATTCATTTATTCATCTATGTAACTTCTATGTATGAATAGAAATGAGTAGTGAATGAGACGTTCATGGAAACAGCCCTTATGAAACTCGCTTTCCGGAAAACTGTATCAAAATAAAATATGATGAGGCTTATGAAGGAGGATGTAGAAGGTGCTATGGGTGCATTAGGCCTCCTCCTCTCTCCTTTTATTCTCTCCCCTCCTGTGACACTTTCCTGTGTTTTCTTCTTGTCTCCATACAAACTCTTTCCCTCTTGTTCCCTGGATTCTCTTACTTCTCTGCTCCTTTCCTGTCCCATCCCTTTTCTCCTCTCTCATCTGCCTTCTCGCTTTCCCCGCTCATTCCCTGATCGCTTCTCTTGCTTGTTCTCTTCTTGCTTTTCCTTCCACCCATCTCCCAGCCTCACCCTGAACCCTGACAGTGCTCAGTTCTCATTTTAAAAGGCACTTTCCCCAACTCAGCCCTATGTGCAGACACATCCCTGCTCACACACAAAACACCTCCCCATGGGGTTCCAGCATTTGATCCCTGTCACCTGGGAGCAGGGGGAAATTGCTGCTTCCCTTGTTTGAGTTGGATGTGCAGGCAAATAAATTCAGAGGCGCTAGAGTTCCAAGGTAAGCCGGAATCACAAACAAACCCCGGAATTTGTTGAAATCTTACCCTTAACTTTAAATGAAGAGGTTAGAATTTGGCACTAGCAATTTACAGATCACCTTCTGCATATATTTCACCACCTATCATCATTGTTGTCCTCATCTCCATTTACAGACCAGGAACCTGAGGCTCAGCGAGATAAGCACTTGCTCAAAGTCACACAACCACAATGGCATATCAGGATTCGATCTTAGGTCCCCTAGCGAAGTCCTCATTAGTTCACCATAGGAACACAGAGCAAAATGGAAGTGAGGGCTTTGCCCCAGAGATTGCCACCTCTCTTTAGCAGCCCCTACCACACATAAGCCTAAGGTCAGGCCTGTGCTAGACATTCCTTGGGATTCTTATTCTGTCTCTTCACCTGCATACATGTATACATATGCCGGCAAAGAGACAGAATGTACATGATGTGTACAAGCCCATACACGCTTACACACATGCATGCTCACTTCCCCCATACTGCTTGTTCTAATTTCAGCTTCTACTCACCTCATTCTCAATACTCGACTCCCATTTGAAGGCACAGAAATCAATGAGCAACTGAGATGAAAATGTGACCTCTTACCCATTTTTCCCTCCACACCCCTTTTTCCTAAGTGCCCCTAACCACACACACACATACACATGCACACACACATACATGTGCGTGCACACACACACACACTCCTTCCAGGTTAGTGCTGTAAACTTACTCAGATGCTGCAATTCCACCTCCAAGTGGGAGAGTCTCTTTATGACTGCCACGTGGCGCTCAGACAGAGGTAAAGGAAGCTCCTTGTGGAGACCACCCATAAACAGGTTTTGTAAAGTCCCCTTGGTAAAAAATACCAGAATGAGATTGACAGCAATGGCCAGAGTCAGCCCAATACAGAGGGCTTTGGGGAGTTTTCTCCAAAACATCTTCTGCCTGAGGCTCATCTACTCCCTGTGGGACTGAGTGCATCACTCCCAGTGCAGGTTAAGAATCAGGACCAGCCTAGATTTGTCTCCACGCAGCTGCATAAATGACACCCTGCCTGCTAGGCCAGATATTCTCCTGCCAGGAACACTATTATAGCTGCCTGGCTTCTCCCTGAGCAGCGTCAGGTGGAGGAGTGTGCGTGGCAGCTGCCCAGCGATACATAAGTCACCTGGACACACCTTGTACTGTCTCAGAAGTCAGAGGACTGTTTGCTCCTGCAGCCAGTTCAGGCTGCCTGGGTGAGAGGCTTTTCTCTATATATATCTATGTTTGTTTGATTTTTAATGTTTTCTCTCCTTGAAAAAAACACCTGGGAGACTCTGATAGGCCATGTGAGATCTGGTCCTGTGGGTATAAGAAGGGGGGCAAGGATCTAAGGTGTCTTTTAACCTAAGTCCACACAGCTTTGGACATAATGGTAGGTGTGCAACAAATGCTTGTTCCACAGACTTAAGGAGAGACTTTCTTGCTAGCTCTTGAGACCTCACTGCCTAGAAGCAGGTGGAGAAGAGCTGGAGGCAGTTCCCAGGGGTTGAGCCTCAGGAGATGACCCTGGTTCACAGGTCTCTGTCCTTTGCTTGTCCTCTGCACAACTTCACACACTGGGCTTCCACTCTGCCCCAGCTTCTAGTAACTCCTTCGCCTCCACACCTCACACTTATAATACGTTTTGGACAAATCACCTAATGATTGTTGTAGAATAAATACTCAACATTGTTCCCCAAGGCTGAAAGTTTAAAGTTCTCAGTCGGCTGGGCGCGTTGGCTCAAGCCTGTAATCCCAGCACTTTGGGAGGCCAAGGCGGGTAGATCATGAGGTCAAGAGATTGAGACCATCCTGGTCAACATGGTGAAACCCCGTCTCTACTAAAAATACAAAAAATTAGCTGGGCGTGGTGGTGTGTGCCTGTAATCCCAGCTACTCAGGAGGCTGAGGCAGGAGAATTGCCTAAACCCAGGAGGCGGAGGTTGCGGTGAGCCAAGATCACGCCATTGCACTCCAGCCTGGGGAACAAGAGCGAAACTCTGTCTCGAAATAAACTAAAATAAAATAAAATAAAGTTCTCAGTCTACTGTCAGTCCCTCCAAAATCACAACTTCTACTGTGTCCTGGCTCTTTGGGGTATTTACTAGGTCTCAAACACAACACATGGTGACATGTGCTGAGGTGGACATGTGGATTAAAGGACAGAAATGTGGCTTTAGGAAAAACAGGATGAAAATGAACAAAATGAAAAGGAATCAGTTCTTCTGTTTTACAGGGATAGAAAATGTCTCCCAGTCTCCCACCTGCAAATTAGACTCAAAACTCATAAACAATGCATGATCCCTTCTGCTTCTGAGACAAGATGAAATACATACATTTATCTCTGTTTCTTCCCACAAGGGCAAGTGAAATTCTAAACATTATATGAAAAAAAAAAAAAAAAAAAAACCTAAGAAGACTCTGAAAGGTAGAGAGAAGAGGGTAGACTGACTAGAGATCTCCAGATACCCTGGATATATTAGGAAATAGATTCCAAGTTGCTGGATGTGGGAGCAGTCAACAACTCGGAAATACCAACGGGCACAGAAAATGAAAGCCCAAGGAAAAGCTGCTTTCTCTAACCAAAGAAACGAAATGGGAAGCCTTGCAAGACAGAAAATGTTTAGACAACTGTCCTAATCCAGCCAAATGCCACTGAAAACTTTGCAGTGCCGTGCCCACCCCATCCACAGGCCTCACAGGGAACCTAGACTTCCAACCTCACCCCAGCTGTGATGATGTGCCCCTGTACCCCCCACCTTCCCCTCCAGGGTGGGGTCAGTGAAGATCTCCTGGGGAGCCAGCATTTTTATCATTGTCCCCACATGATGTCGGTAAAGGAACAGTGGCCCTCCCCTTTTCAGCCAGTGTGGCATCAGCAGAGACCAGTGGGGAACCTGAACTCCCCCCGTCACCCATCACTAATGAAGCAGCCCTTTCCACCAAGTGTCAGTGGAGGCTAAGCATGGAACCTGGGCTTCCACTCCCACCTGGCAGCAATGAGATGACATCTCCCTTTCCCCACCAGAACAGTGTATGAAAGATCTGCTAAAACAGATTTACATAGGATCCAGAGTCTCATAAAGTTATATTCAGAATGTCCAAGAAGCAATCAAAAATCATTTGTCATATATACAACCAGGAAAATATCAACTTGGATAAGAAGAGGCTATCAACGGACACCAACACCAGCCGGGCATGGTGGCTCATGCCTGCAATCACCGCACTTTGGGAGGCTGAGGCAGGAAGATTGTTTGATCCCAGGAGTTTGAGACCAGCTTGGGCAACATAGTGTCACTCTGTTTCTACTAAGAAACATAAAAAAAAGCATTTTCTTTTTTTAAAATTGGGTTGGCATGGTGGCTCACACCTGCAATCCCAGCACTTTGGGAGGCTATGGCAGGCTGATCACTTAAGCCCAGGAGTTCAAGACCAGCCTGAGCAACATGGTAAAAAGCCATCTCTACAAAAAATACAAAAATAGGCCAGACGTGGTGGCACATGCCCGTGGCCCCAGCTACCCATGATACTAAGGTGGGAAGATGACCTGATTCTAGGAGGTTAAAGCTGCAGTGAACCATGATTGCGCCACTGCACTCCGGCTTGGGCAACAGCGTGAGACCCTTTCTCAAAAACAAAATTAAAACAGATACTAACACCAAGATGACACAGATGCTGGCATTGTCCGACAAGGATTTAAAAGCAGCCAAGTAACATTGCTTCAACAAGTGATTATGAACATGCTTAAAACAAATGTCAGCAAGGAAATCATATGTTTCAGCAAAGATATAGAAACCTCAGGAAAGAAATTGAAGACACAAAAAAAGAACCAAATGGAAATTTTAGAAATGAAAAATACACTAAACAAAATTTAAAAATCACTGGGTGAGCCTCAACTGTAGAATGACAAGGACAGAGTGAAGATTCAATGAACTTGAAGATGGAACTATAGAAAATGCTCAGTCTGAACAACAGAGAGAAAATAGACTAAAAAAATAATAAACCTCAAAGACCAGAGAGACTACAACAACCAATCTAACATTCATGTCATCGGAGCCTTAGAAGGAAAAGAGGAAGTATGGGGCTAAACAAGAAGGTACAGAAATAAGGTCTGGCTGGGCACAATGGCTCATGTCTGTGATCCCAGCACTTTGGGAGGCCGAGGCGGGTGGATCACCTGAGGTCAGGAGTTCGAGACCAGCGTGACCAACTTGGTGAAACCCCGTCTCTACTAAAAATATAAAAAATTTAGGAGAGCGTGGTGGTGTGCACCTGTAATCCTCATTACTTGAGAGGATGAGACAGGAGAATCACTTGGACCTGAGAGATAAAGTTGCAGTGAGCTGAGTGCCACTGCTCTCCAGCGGAACTCAAAAGAAAGAATGGAAAGAAAGAGAGAGAAAGGAGGGAGAGAGGGAGGAAGGAGGAAGAGAGGGAGGAGGGAAGGGAGGAGGGAAGGGAGGAAGGAAGGAAGGAAAGGAGGAAGGAAGGAAGGAAAAGAAAAGAAATAAGAGCTGAAAATTTCCAAAAGTTGGCACAAGACAGAAACCTACAGATTCAAGATGCTGAGCAGATCCCAAATGGGACAAAGTGAAAAAATTCATGCCCATCTGACGCCCAGATGTATTATAATCAAACTTCTGAAATCCAAAGACAAATATAATTCTTGAAAGTAGCAAGAGAAAAATTACACTGACAGGGAAAAAACAATTCAAATGATAGAGTTCTCATCAGAAATCAAGAAGACCTGAGGAAAGTATCACCACTTTTCAAGTGCTGGAAGAAAAGAATGGTCAACCCTGAATCCTACAGCCAACAAAAATACCCTTCAGGAACAAAGAAGAAAGAAAGACATTCTCCAATAAGAAAAGTAATAGAATTTGTTTCCAGCAGACTTACCTCAAAACGATGACCACAGAAACTGTTTTAAGTAGTGACAAAAGAAGGAATCTTGGAACAAGAAAAAGAAAAGAACGAGTTAAAACCTGAGTAAATACAAAGGACTTTCCCTTTCCTCTTGAGTTTTGTAAATTGTGTTTGGCAACCAAATACTATACACTGTCTCCTGTGGTCTGAAAACATATGAAGAGATATTTAAGACAACTGTACTATCATCTTAAATAGTAAAATAGGGAGGGCAAACTGGGGACCTAATTAAGGTAAAGTTTCTTCATTTCACGTGAACTGATAAATGACAACACCAGTAGACTGTGTTAAGTTATGTACATATGGTGCTGATGAAATAGTTCTAAAGTATCTTAAGTGACAGTGTTTGCATGTCTACATGTGATAAAATAGCATAGAACTATAGACATACAGGATCAATGTCAATTTTCTTGTTTTGCTATCGCACCGTAGTTATATAACTACATATATAATACAGGAGTGTCATCAGTTTCTTTGCTATTGCTCTATAGTTACATATGCAGTTATATATCTTCCTTCTGGGAATACTAGGTGCCCTGCCATGCATCCAATCACTGCTCAGTTATAAAATTATATCTACAGTTATATAAATATAATATAGTTATAGTCATTGGGAAAAACTGGGTATAGGAAGTAAGAGTAAGAGAACTGCTCTGTACAATTCTTGCGAATTTTGTGAATCTGTAATTATTTCAAAATTGTTTTTTTTAAAAAAAAGATTCCTACCCTGCATTAACCGACTGCTGACATAGATCACTTTCTAAAATGACAAACTCTTTATTAGAAACACACACAAAAGTCATGGCTACCTCTAGAGTTGGCAGGGATTGGAGAACTGAGGACTAGAGGTGGGAAGAGACTGATTTTCACTGAATAATTTTTAAATATATTCTACATTTTGTGTCATATTGCGTGAATTATCTATTAAAAATAAATAAAATAATTTGATCAAACATTGCACCATAATTGGTATCATGTTATTGCTGTCTAGTATAGGTCAAAGTTCACTCAGCTAAAGAGACCAGCCAATATTCCTCTGCAGTCTGGCGTGCACTTCTCCTTCTCCACTAAGAAGCTGATGAGGCTCCTCGTTCTGGGAATACTGGGTGCCCTCTCATGCATCCGATCACTGATCAGAACACTGGGGCAGTAGTCTTCCAAGGTTCACTTCATAAAATTCATAAAATTCACCTGGATGTCCAGGTTCTAGCCAAAAAATCCTATTCTGTAGGTCATTAGGGGACCTGGACACCTGCATTTTTAACAAATGCCTCATATGAATAGGTTTACACCTCTGCCCTGAGGGAGCCCACAAATCCGTGGGAGAGGGGCTGATTTACAATTAGAGTCAATGGGCTTACTACCCTGTAGGAAGCCCCAACTTGCACCAAGGGTCACAAGAGGTCAAGGGACAGTCTGCATAGGGATGTGGCATCCTGAAACATTGAGTGTGTGTGTGTGTTTCAGTTCCTCAAGGAAAGGGAGCGTGTGTAAGGAAGGTTATGGGGACAAGAAAGTACAATTTTTTTTAATTTTAAAAATAACAGGGGCTGGGAGTGGTGGCTTACACCTGTAATCCCAGCACTTTGGGAGGCCGAGGCGGGCAGATTACGAGAACAGGAAATTGAGACCATCCTGTCTAACATGGTGAAACCCCATCTCTACTAAAAATACAAAAGGTGTGGTGGCATACGCCTGTAGTATCAGCTACTTGGGATAGCTGAGGCAGAAGAATTGCTTGAACCTAGGAGATGGAGGCTGCAGTGAGCTGAGATCATGCCACTGCACTCCAACCTAGGTAACAGAGCGAGACTCCATTACTGAGTAATTATTACTCTGAAAAACAGTAATAATTATTATTGTTATAAAAGTATATAATAAAATAATAATAAAATAAAAACAATATAAAAATATATAATAATAGGGCTGGGATCTCACTTTGTTGCCCAGACTGGCCTCAAACTCCTGAGCTCAAGCGATCTGCCGGCCTCAGACTCCCAAAGAACTGGGATTACAGGCATGAGCCACTGCACCCGGCCACAAATTATTCTATTGAAGATCGAATGGATAAAAGCAGTCAGAATGTGGAGGCAGAGACTGCAATAAGAGTCGTAAGAGCTGTTTACCTGATTTTTGTTTGCAATAGCAAATAATAATAAGCTGGACTTCAAGTTTCCAACCACAGACAAATGGTTAAATAACAGTGCATAATAGTTAAGTAAATTATACCGTCTCCCCTTCACGGAATATTAGAATATTATGGACAGCAAGGAGATACTGTTGGAGAAACTATAGATTTTAGAGCAAGGTAATAATTCTATTACTTATTCTCCAGGTAAATGAAGGCAAATTATTTCACCTCTCTGAACCTAATTTACCTTATGTACAAGATGGGGATATATAATACTCTTCTTTGCAGAGCTGTTATGGGATATGGGATAACCTTTGTAACTTGCCTGGC